CCCCTCCCCCTCCCCCCGAGGCCCTCCCCGCCTGCGCCCCCCCCGCCCGCGGTTCCCCCCCGCCTTTCACCCCCCTCGTTGCTCCCTAGTTAGAACAAACGTAGCTTACCTACTGCAATGGATAATGAGGAAAAAATATTCATACATGCATTATTAATTCTAATGCTTGGTATATACATTGTAAAGAAACGAATATCTTTTCGTTGGGTCAATCGACAATATTGGGTACGACCAATCAATGTGAGACGCCCTGATCAAGGAGACTTTAATCACTTACTGCAAGAGGTGAAAAATGATCCATTTATGTTTTTTCGCAACACAAGAATGTTTTTATGCATCTTTAATCAACTGCTGGAAATGATGACACCATTTTTGGTAAAGAAAAGTCATCGGGCATTGATACCCGAACAACGCCTTGCTTTAACTCTAAGGTATGTATTTATTTCAGTGATAATATGTTATGTAAAGAAGTATTAAATTAACCAATTAAATTTTTTTGTATTTTTGTTATATCAGATTCCTTGCTACAGGAGATCAAGTTCTATCAATCGCTTTAGCATATCGCATTGGGGAGTCGACGGCACATAAAGTAATAAAGGAGACTTGTGCTGCAATTATAAGAGTATTATGCCCTTATATTTGCCATCTCCTGCAGAAGAAGATTGGATTAAAGTATGTGAAGAATTTTGGACAACTTGGAACCTACCAAACTGTTGTGGTGCAGTTGACGGGAAGCACGTACAAATACAAGCTCCGCCAAATTCTGGGAGCTTGTACTTCAACTACAAAAAAACTTTCAGTATAATATTAATGGCGGCATGTGATCACAATTATAAATTTACAGTAGTAGATGTTGGAGCATATGGCAGCAACAGTGATGGCGGAGTTTTGTCAAGATCGGAGTTTGGCAAAGCTCTACACAATGGTAATCTGAATTTACCAAAAGGTGAAGCCAATTTGCCTGGAAGTAGAACAAGGACGCCATGTTTCTTCGTTGGAGATGAGGCATTTCAACTAACACAAAATGTGATGAGGCCATATCCAGGTCGCAATTTAAATGTAAAAAAGAAAATCTTTAATTATAGATTATCACGAGCTAGGAGGGTTATAGAGAATACATTCGGGATTCTTGTCTCACGCTGGAGAATTTTAAGAAAATCTATTACTTTACATCCTGAAAATGTCGACAAGATCATATTAGCAACGATATGTCTCCACAATTTTTTAAAAACTGTGAACGATTTGAGGCCAGCAGAACACAGAATTTATTGTCCTCCCAATTTCGTCGATACTGAGCAAGAGGATGGCACTATTATTAGTGGAGGCTGGAGAAGTGAATGTTCTACAAGTAACGTAGTAGAAATTGAACGTATTAGAGCAATCAATGCTCGTCGTTCAACCACACTGGCATACAAGCAACGAGATGAAATAGCAGATTATTTGCTAACTCCTGAGGGTGAAGTTTTATGGCAATACGAGTACATTAATAGAGGTTTCAACAGTCCAGATTTCCATTGAGCCAAGAAGTTACTTTTATTCGCATTTGTTAAAAGATTAATTACTTTTATTTGGAATTTTTTATTGTATACATTTCTATGACGTTTATTTTGCATTTATAGTTAATTACAACACGTTTGTTGGTACTTATTAAAAAGAAGAAATCAAAATACAGTGATTTGCTCAAGAGTGACAATAATATGTGTATTCTAGAAATAGAGTTAAATATCAGCTAATATAAGATCGGTCTCTGTCATTTATTAATAAATAAATAAGGTTATTAAAATGCATTTGATTACTTTTATTTGTATTTGTTGTATACATTCCTGCCAGTACAAAAACTACAAAGTAAAATAATTTTTTGTGTTGGAGCGTTTGGCAGCAACACAGAACGAAAACAACGTTTTCTGCTGAATAAAATGTTATTACAAAAAATATGCAGGCATGTATTTTTCAGGTAAAAATGAACTAAAAGATTAATTGTACGATTAATATAAGAGTAATATAAGAATAATATAAGATTATTTTTAAAAAATATTTTATAATATCAGAAGAACAAAAGTAACACAGTAAGATCTTATATTATTATAAAATAAAAAACAAAGTTATGCGGCTATATCCTAACCTAATGGTTTCCATAAGATTTCTATAATCGCTTGCTTTTGTCTCGATTTTTCGGATTCAAACATTCTTTCCAATTCCGTTGCTACTAACAAACCAAAACTTTTATCAGGTGTTAAATCATTAAGATTCCAACCCCTTTGCTGAGATGGTTCTGCATTAGTCACACGTTTTTGAAGACTATCCTATTGAAGACTATTAAAGACACGTACCTATGTGGATACCTTTAAAAAATATAAATTTATGGAAATAAACGTTTGGATACTATAGCTAAAGTAAATATATAATTAAAGTTTCAAACTACAAAAAAATATTTTTATCTTCGATTTTAATTCGATTTATACTTATAAATAATAATTAAAGGTGTCCAAATATAGATACGTGTCCAGGTATTGGTACTTCTACCTTAAATTCTGTCTCTAATTGCATGAATATATCGTCAGGCTAACAATGGTAGTACATTCTCAAGATTAGTGTTTGATACCTTTAAAGCCTGAGATGGACTTGAGGACAATGAATGCGGAAAAGAGTCGTTTGGGTTTGTACTTAAAACTGTTTGAGGCAATGAAATGTTGCTCCTGCTTATGTTGATCCTATCAGGAAGAGAAGATGTACTTGATGCATCCATTAATTGCTTCTTGGCAGCAGACACGTTCGTATATGATCTACAAAACATTAATTAATACAGTGTAATATAAGTAAACTGTATTATATATATGTATGTATTATATATATTATTTACCATATAGTCTATATTAATCAAACT